CAATCTTATTTATGTATTAATGGTCTAATATAAATATAGATGTGGCCCGCCTAGATTAGCCCAGACTACCTGCGGGTTCGCGCTGTTGCTATTGTCAAGCTTTTTTAACTTAATGAGTATATATTTCTGTAAAATTGTAAATATGCCAGTCATAATAAAGTGTTGTTGTAAGTGTTGTTGTTGTTGTTGTAAATAATTCGACCATTGAGTTACATTTGCCCGTTGAGGCGAAACAAAAGCTTGCAATCATATTGTTCGATCAGTGGATTTAGATTTCCTTGCTTTAATGCGATTTGATATGACCGTTGATTGCACGTTGCGTGACTGCTCCAGTTTCGGTAAACTCACAAATTCATGCTATTAAAACGTCTCATTTTCACTTTTACTGGTAATGTTTAAGCACAGAGGCTAATTTTTAAAAAGAAAACTTGTGGAAATACATCTACTAAGGGTTTCCTGGGTCTCTTAAACCAAGTTCTGGCATTTGTTACGTTCTTTTCTTAACTCAAGAAAAAAATTTGGGGGCTCTACTGTTGGAAAAATCGTAATTCTCTTTTAAAAAGCTAGACCAACCCCAATTATACATTTAATTTAAATTCCTATTATCAGTATTTCCTTCAAGCTCTGACGCCAACACCCACTTTCACATCGAAACTACTAGTATAAATTAATTCTCAAAAATACGCGCGAATCTAAAACGTCACAACCGTGTTTACCTACTCTCATCTAAACACACATATCGACCAATGAGAGCGCGCGTTGTAACTCAGTGATATTATAAACACCAATATTTTCGTGTTTTCAGGGCCATGCAAAGGGAAATAGGAAAGCTCTGCTTGTGCAGTCTAAAGTACAGTCATTCCTTGAAATACTCGGCATGTCTAATCACCGGAACAATGGAGGCTTTATTTTGAAGCGTTTCGTTGTCCTGATCGTTCTCGCCATTGGACTGATCTGGGCAAAACTCGAACCAAACGTGGAAAATCTTTGGATAGAAGGTGAGAGATGTCGCTGTTGTTTTTGCACACTGCTTGCCTCTTCTATAATTGTTTGTAAATTAACTGGTCCCTGGTATAACGAGCGCGCTATGATTGGTTAAAGCTTTGTACCGGTAAACACCCGACTCCGCTAGATTCCCAGTATGGCAGAGTTTGGGAGTAGAACGCGTGAAATGCGAAATGCGAATGCCTTTAATTTCACCTTTATTGGCTACGCTTCTCTCTATCTACTCTGTTGTAGATAGCGAGTAGCCTAGCAGTGTGCGATTGTTAACAAAATGCCGACCCTTTCTCTGCGTTTTCGAAGTGTCTGTGAAGAGGATTTAGATTAAGTTTTGAACGATAAGTAGATTTACACTAATCAATTAGATTATTCGCTCTCGATTTCTATGCGTGATAGTTGACTCGGGTTGCGACCTCGTCAACTATAACGCGATAGAAATCTCGAGATCATAATTTAATTGTTTAATGGGATGTGAAATAGGTCATAATACGTCCTTTCCACCGTCCGGCATCCCCGGCACCCCGGACAACCCCGGCATTCCCGGAATCCCCGCCACTTCCGTAAATGAACAAATACGGCTTATCCCGCCAATGATAATTTGCATAACGCGCGGAGGCCTTTAACTTGAATAAAACGGTATGCTTTTAAATTGAGGCCCCCTAGCCCTCCACAGTGCGACGGAGGAATTTGAAAAAAAGGTGTTTTCACTCCAAAAATGTATCAAATGTTTCCCGTCCACACTTCGCCGGAGAAATTTGAAAACGCAAAATTACCGGTGATTTTGGATTTGTGTTTGAGGAAAACTCTGGCAGGGAAATCACGTGATTATCGTGACGTCATCGTTTTCGAAAACCTCCGTTTCCAAAATGTTCTTCGTCCGCACAAAAGCGCACAGCCGACGTTTTTAAATTATTCGGGTGAGAAGAGCTTTTTCGAAAAGCTCCGTTTTCTTGACGGATTAGTGTGGACGGTAGGCCTAACCGTAGAAATAAAGCTACATTTTCAAAATCCTCCGTCGAAATTTATGTGGACGGCGTCTGAACTGCCGTCTGCTTGTTCTACTTTTTCTAGTCCATCTTGTTTACACACGTTGTACGACTTTTATTGATGATAAAGACAATTCAGTAGTTATTGCATTTATATGTAGAACGTTTTAACCTGCCTGTTGTTCGGGATTTTAGCGGATGGACGACTAAAGAAAGAGCTAGAATATACCAAGAAATCGCTTGGAGAAGGTTACGGCAGCACAAATGAGCTACTGATACAAACACCCAATGAAGAAGGAACAAATATTCTTACTGTAGAGGCCTTGAAGCGGCACTTGGACATTTTAATGAAAGTCACAAATGTCTCAGTGGATTTGTTTGACCAGTAAGTCAATGTGGTTACGTAACACATATCGAAGTTCGTTGGTCTTTGAGGGTGCGTTCCTTTGGGGTGATCTGGATCAGGTTCAGTAGTCCAAGATCACTCGGATCATGGTGCATCAAAGGAACCGACGAATCCACTCTGGTCACGGATGAAACGGATTCGCGGATTCACGGATTCACGGATCCTAAAACAGCAAATACTAATTACGTGCGGATTTATCAACCCTGTCAACTTCTTTTTTCGCGACCTGTGCGCAAAACTGTCTTTTCTTTTGAGTGAAGTCTTTGTAAGTTAGTTGCTTTTGTTCAAAATTGACTGCCAAAACTATAGGATCTTTAAGTCACTGATGGTTTGCTGCTTAATCCGAGCCGCTGCTAGAAGGGGCATTCGAACATGCTCGCCGGTAATTGAACATGTTTCCTAGAAGATTTCAAAATAAAACATCAGTTATTTGCAAGCACAAGATTTGTTCTTTTTTCTTTTTAATTTAGAACCTGGAAACTGACGGATATTTGCTACACTTTGGTTCCAACTTTTAACAATCCCGTAAGTTCTACGCTTTTAATTTCTTTGTTTGTGTTCTTTTTTCAGGATAACTTAAATTCGTCGTGAATTTTGCATGAACTAAATTCTGTGCAAAAAACGAAGTTTAGAACATGTGGAAAAACCTGTGAAAAAAAATGCCTTTTTTGGCACAGTTTGCTTGGTATTTTGAATTGTATTTTGGCCGCTTACAAAATTACCTCTAAATTGAAGGAAACCCAAATATAGTAGTTTACTAGGGTAGAAAAACACCATAGAGATAATAATAGACCACAAAGGAACAAGGATGGTTAAGGATGGAGAAGATTAACACGGATTACAAACGATGAGCTTGAAAAACTTAAGCTAAACCTGTCAAGATGCGGAAACAAGTTTAACATTTCAGATGTAAAATGTAAAAAAAAAAAATGTAAATCTTATTTATAGTGCTCATGCACTTGGCCATACAAGCACTAAGCATGTAAAATGTAAAAAAAAAATGCAAATCTTATTTATAGTGGTCATGCACTTAGCTATACAAGCACTAAGCTTAGCTAGTTTACAGGCATGCCACTGAAACAGAGGAAACAAATATTTCAAATAAACGTAACGTAGTTAAAAATCCCAACCGGCAGGAGGCAGACCAGTTGGCTATTTAAAAAGCGTGACCGAGGATTTGAACTCGGGACAACCGAGAAACAAATCCCGCTAGTGGCAGAACCATTCGGCCACGCTGCCTCCGCAGATTAACAGACATATATCTCTTAATCGTTTTGCCAAAATACACAGCAACACGACACACTGAAATATCTAATATCTTTTTCGCAACCATGTTAGAATCTTGGTCGATTAATGCCATGTGTTATCATAAGTGCTTTGGATTGCTTTTGGGAAGGAGCGAAGCCACTCGAACCGCAAGTCCAGCCCGTTCTGTAAGTGACAAGTTATAATATGCGACATAAATGTGACAAGACTTGTTAGGTAGGAACATGTCTAGGAAAAGTCTATCCAGGAAAGTTGAATCTCTTTCCACAAACTTGATATGTGGTAAGCACAAATAATACCAAACGTTGTTAATACGGACGCTAACATTAAAGGAGAAGAGGCGAGTGTCCGCAAGAAGGTGACCCAAGTGGGTGAGAAGGAACTGTACCTTGTTTGCTCGGGATTACCTGCTCTTTTCCACTAGGAAATTTTGTTTCTTGCAACCATACAATAAATCCCTTATTGACCAAGGCTCTCCGGTCAAGATGACGGGATATCGGCTTCGTTGTTTTTACCTTTTTGTGGACATGCATTAGCTCTCGGTCCGTAAACACCGACGCAAAAACAAAATTCCATTTCCAGTCGCTTTTGATCAATTAGACAATACCCCTTACATAATTTTCATTATTAAATAACAGAAATGGGACCTTACCCTTACAAAATGTAGGTCAGTAGATGATTGTCTATAGTCTATACTTACACCTCAGTTGTTTCAAGTCACTGCATATTTATTAAATTAAACTTCATGTGCGAATAGCCACGTTTCTAGTGTTTACAGATGTGTAATATTTCATAGACCGAGTGGTACTCCTCTACCGAAGTGGAAAAACCTAACCATCCCGTCACTGATACAAGCAGTGCGCACTGAGATTCCTCAGGACTACGAGAAGTTTATGTGGCTGCTCAAAGAGGTATTGTTATTGTACATTAGGGGTTCATGTAAAACACGATGGGAACGGGAACTTCTCAAACTCATTAAGTTTAAGGTGGCTCAAAAGAGTTTCCAGCACTTATATTTGGATGGGTCGTTATAACCACTCTTTATCACTTGATGCTATAATCATGGTATCAAAAAACT